GAGACGTGCTGTGTCTGTGCTCCAATCGGCCTGAAATTTTACACGCGTGCTCCGAGTCTCAGCCAGAGACAACAGCTTGTTGTCAAGTTCTACACAAGTCTGTTACTGATCCATTAATGTGAGTCAGGTGTGCTGCAGTACGGAAACATCTAGAACCTGCAGGACAGCAGCTCAGGAGGACTGGAGCTGGAGATCCTGGTCTATAGGAACACAGCTGCATCATCGTGTACACGTTGAGAACTAAACACTCCAGAAACCGATCGGACCGAATTGGATTTATGTCAAAATGTCAGAAACACAGTGGGACATTTTGAAAGATGTTTTACAAACAGGTCATGTATTTAAATCCTGTAACATCGACTCGTGTTTCTTCTGAGCGACCACAAAACGGCAGCACGCCACGCTAAAAGAAACCTGGAGCTGGGCCATTTCTGATTGGTGGTTTTATCTCCAATAAATCACTGGTGGATTATCCGTCATGAGGAAAGTAGGGCAGGCTGATCTGAGAGCCGCCCTCCGCCCATCTCATCCCCTGCTTTCAGTAAAAGAGGTTATTATCGGGGGTTTACATGGATGATAGCAAAGATGCAAATAGACGGCACTCAGCTCCCAGTGTGAAGAACAGAACACATGGCATGACTTTATGTGAGACAATGAGAGGACTGACAGCGTGGCTCCATGATCAGCTTTATTTGAGCAACACCAAGCCTTCACTTACAGCAGGTTGACCACAGAGAAGACGTCTGACTCGCTGCTGCTCTCTCACTGACAAGTTTAATGAGGAAAAAGACAATAAATTCTCAACACCAGTTAGTCTGAGGGAAACCAAACATACAGACAGGAACAGATGTCAAACACTTAACACGTCTTCTCTAACGTCCACAGTCCTCAGGACACAGATCACCATCAAACACACTGGGACCAGCGAGTCCGGAAACACCGACAGATGAACACACACACTTTACATGTGACATTATCCTCATGCAATGACAATCATCATGAATCCTCTGCAAAGGAGTTAGGCAATATATGTGCATTCATGTGCTGTCGGGATGGAGCTGTACAGGTATCACCAGAAGTCCACACAGACGGTCACCTAAACCATCAGCTGGGAGTGTAATGGGTCATGCATTTATCCTGAAACATCACGCTACAGACATTACAGGTAGGTGGAGAACACAGCAGACAAACACTGAGGAACATGTGACTGGACTCAACTAGTCAGGCCAGTGACACATCTGGTTTCCACATAGTTCTGCTGAATGTCCACTTGTTTCTGTCTCTGACGTGTCAGCAGGTCTTGTTCTTTACTGGTCCAGAGTTTGCCTCATGTAGATAAAAAAAACGGAACTTTGATTTGCAGTTGACTTCTGTGAGACGTCAGAAAAGCGAAGCGGCTGACGGGCAGTTTAGTCGCACTGTTGACAAATTGTGTAAAAAATAATTGATGAGCTAGTTTAGCAGATGGTAGCTGTGCAGCATGCAGAGCGGCTTATATGTCGTCTAACAAAATCATCCACAGAACGGAGTCCACACCTCGCAGGACGACATCCCACCACGCAGGATGAACAGCGTGTTCGTCGTGGAAATGCTCCGTGTGCTCATTCATTAACAGTGGGTGGTAAAAAAAAATTGGTGAAATATAATTAGCATCTGTTCCTCTGTGGCTGCGCTGGTGTTTCTACCATCCGTAAACAAATGCAGCTCCCTGCATTCAGCATGAAGGGGCACAATGCTTGTAGGAATATCGAATACCAAAGAAAGCTGCAAATGAGTCACGATGACTTTTGTGTCTGTGTGTCATAGTTTTATCATCTCCCCAAGTGAGGGAAAAGCATGTCCTGTTTCACTGAATTCTGTCCATGTGCCTGAACACAGGGGGACATGTATGTGTTCCAACACATGGCATCTTCACAACACAGTGGACTCAGTGAAACAACCAGGTGTGTTGTAACCATGATGGAAGGTGGGTCATAGACCAGAAATCACAAGTCAGTGTGTCTGCACTGCATAATGCTGCATGTTGGACCCAGAGTTCATACGTCTGTTGATGCTGATGCTGTCCTGCTCCTCCTGAAGGGCCTGGAGAAGGTGGCAGCCATTTTGGGGGACAGAAGCATTTACTGTCACATCCATCCAGAGCATCCTGTGACTGTTTGGTCGACCGTGCAGTCTGGACATGCAGGTGCCTGCTTACAGCACGAACTGACCTGTTATTGAAACACTAATGTGCATATATGATGCCCAAACCCATGAAGTGTGGGGACACACCTGGCTAACTTAAACATGGAGCTATTCAAGTCAAACTGAACTTCACATTCATTTTATCCTGGAAGTCACTCTGTCATGTGATTCCAGCTCTCCCTGCATCACTCCATGACTCTATCTGTGCTGTGATGGTTTAACGGACCTCCTGCTGATGCTGTACCACTGCTGGGCTTTGGATCATGGATGTATGAAGAGGAACTGAACACTGGATTACATGTTTGCACCTTATTTGTTCAAGTCAAAGTTTTCCAAAGACAAATTCTTCAGTGAGGTTCTCAGATATTAAAGCTGAGCCCACGCTCATCAGCAGGCGTCTGAGTGGTGTTGGTAGAGAGCGGCATGACTGCAACATCTGGTCCTTAAAGCTCAGGGTGTGGCCTTTGTGATGCTCCAGACTCTGTGGGGAAACTGTGCATCATGTGATGACCACTGACGTAAAGCTCTTTGCCCATTACATCTAAATGAATGTTGTTGGACGCTTGGTTCTGACAGTCTGGACATTCTCTTCACAGCTGGAGCCATAAAAGAGCGACAAGCTGTGTAGGGAGCGTGGTGCTGTTGAACCTCTTCATAAACGTGGCTTCCAGTTTAACAACTAGCAGACGGTGTGACCTGACTAGGACCCAGACTTCTGGCTGGAAGTTAACATACCAGTGACCAAATGACAGACAGGAAGTAGAACAATGAAGAAAAGGGTGGGTTACATCAGGTCAGTGCAACCTCTGGTCTGCAGCACCACATGGAGCTGACGGTCTCCTAGCAACACTGGTCAGATGTACATCCACCACAGCATCACTAGAGATGTATCCTCACACAAGAAACAGAGAAAGCTGAATGTGAAGTTGACTTTACAGCAGATATACTAATCAGATAAACTTGTTTAACTGTAAACTAAATGTTATAATTCATCCTACATCCACCCAACCGGTGGAGGCAGATGGCCGTCCCTCCCTGAGCCTGGTTCTGTCGGAGGTTGTTTTTCCCCTGTGGGGGTTTTCGGTTCCGTCCCACCAGCGGACTGCTGAAGCTTATAGGGAATCCAGATGTTTGGATTGTTGGGTGTTTCTGTCTTTGAAGCGCTATGAGATGACTTGTTGTTGTAAATATGCGCTATACAAATAAAACTGAATTGAATTGAATAAACACTAAGCTAGTTTATAGCTGATAAAGCAGTGTTTCCTCTGGTACTGCCTCGGGGTGGCAGCCTGCCCCGCTAGAAGAAGCCCCGCTAGCAGTAACCCTGCTAACAGTAGCCCCGCTAGCAGAAGCCCCGCTAACAGTAGCCCCGCTAGCAGAAGCCCCGCTAAGAGTAGCCCCGCTAGCAGAAGCCCCGCTAACAGAAGCCCCGCTAAGAGTAGCCCCGCTAGCAGAAGCCCCGCTAACAGTAGCACTGACTGAAATGTGCACTGGATTAGAATCACACACTCCACCTTTAATCTGTCTACTGCCAGAGTTGGAGGGTCAGGTTTATGTCCTGAAGTCAGGCCAAAACAGCTCACATTTGTACCTGCACCCAACCTGAATCAGCACATAGACTGCAATCAGACTGAAGGCAACAGAACGGATGAAAAATAATAAAAACAACATATGATAATGTTCATTACCAATTCACAGAGAAACAGAGGAGGAAAACAGAGAG